CTTTTCTCAAGTGGTTCTATCGTTTGACAACTTTCCTGTTGCTTTCTACTTTTAGTATCGATCTTAAACATGCGCCATTTTTCGAATATTCCGAATTTATTTGTTACTCACTAGACAAGAAATGTCTTTGTTTCTATGACGACGATAGTTTCATACTTATGATGGATCTCTAGCAATTTCTTCATTTCTTCATTGTCTCACTGAACCTTTTTGACTGATGTCAAACACCTTGTATGAAATATGGAATACAGACGAGAAAGAAAGATGACATTACATGAATTCCAGTATTTTTTGAAGTGAACTAGGGACTGCTGTAGGATTGTAGGATTGACGGCACTTATAATTCCTATTGCAAACAGTGTTAGCCATAGTGCAAGCCTTGATGTGTATAACAAATGAAAAGGCTTGTCAAATGATCAGAGCAAAGGAGCTTCTTCTGAGGGCGATCTAACGGTCATCTAATGGTGATGAAAGTTTACTCGATAACACCAAGTGACTATAACAAGATAGTGAATCCTAACAGGTAAAATTAATATTGAAGCGAATTATGATGACTTTGGGGCTAAATCGTTCATCCTGATTCTTGACTCAAAAAAAATTTGTCAAATTCTTGTCGTTTTCAGCCTTTTGACAAATTTCAATATTCCTCGCCTCATGTACTCTTATAATTTACCGCTTGCAAGTGAATAAAAATTGTTTGTGAGAGCAAGATTGACTATACGCCAGCCTAATTTCACAAAAGTAATTTTGGACATGGAAACTATAAAGAAAACGTTCTTTTCTCTAGATCTGATTACTTTTTGTTTATCCAGCCCAGATATACGAATTTTTCCTGAGAGATAACATCTCAGTGGCTGTAACCGACATTAAAATTTCCCTCTACATATATATTTCTAGTGTGGGAAAAACAACTCTGCATTTTATACCCTGTGGCCCTAAATGATTCAAAAGAATTTCATTTGGCCAAATTGCATTCAAATGTTGCGCAAACGATGGCCATAAAGTGCTCGTTATCGTAAAATGTATGCAAGGAAAAGACGGAGACAAAAGATTCACCTGCTCTTACGGGAAATGAGAAAAACATTCACTTTCTTTGTTAACAGTTTCGTAGAATTGCAGACAAAATTTCGTCTTACAAATCTCCGTCATTCTTTTATCTTCAATTCAACTTCATCCGCTAACGTCAATAGCGACTTAATGTTTACTTCATTAAAAAAAATACGCTTCTTACTTTTCTCCAGGTCTTCTGATATTAGAATATTTATGAATTCAGACTGCAAGAACGGTGCACCACTGGCTTCAGAAAATTCAAAACGAGCAAAGTTAATTTAGAAATAGGGAAAAAAGGACCATCATATAAAGTTATTAATGCCTGAAACTGCGCTGCAATATATTTACAAGAAAACAAGACAGCATGTATTCTCAATTAAAATCTTTTGGGAAATCCTGAGAAGTAATGAACCTAACGATTTGCGTAAGATTTTAACTTGGAACTCTGACAGATTAGATAGCCAGCTTTTCTAAGCATTGCTTCAATTTATGTAACATTATTTCTCTTCTGAATAAAATGTTGAAGGAGTTGCCTGTGAAACCTACTGGTGTACTATTCTACATTTTACAGGAAGTGTATTTAGAATTCTCAGATATTCAGAGAAAATATAGCGTTCCAAGTCCCATTGCGTTAAATTAAATGCTCCGTCTTTTTTATCTGTAATTTTCTGAAGCATACATGTTGCATAAAAACAACAAAAATGTATATATCATTCTGGATTTTCTCATCAATCAGCTTATTTTTTACCTGTTTGCCAGTCCCCGAGACATCTTTGATAATGAATTCAATATTATTTCTTAAATGATGACCACAAAAATCCAATTTGTTTTGCCTAATGCTTCTTTTTTTCTTTTGAAACGTTCTTTCTCTATTTCATTCATTCGAAAATAAACAGAACAGATGGAAGCGGTGTGATTTTCCACCTTTTTGACCATTTTGCGCCTGCTTGCGACCGAATATTCCTTTACCAAAGATTCAGGTATTGTATTTATTTTCATCATCACTGATTGGAAAAACCTTCTTGGACATAAACAAAAAAAAATTTAAAAAAATTTTACGCTCTTTCGACAGATACTGGGAAAATAGTTTAAATAAACTAGTTTGTTCTAATGAAAGTATGAGTCGACCGTTGCAAAAAAAGAATACTGGAACCATTTGAAGATAAATTGCAAAACGAGGACTGCATGGGACTGAAATACAAAACGTAGCAATTAAAGAAACATGTAAAGACGATTCTAAATGTTCATTTCTGCCCGGAGCTGAATACCACTCAGTTTCACATTTTTTTCCTCCGATGCTTGGCTCTTCCGCCTATTTTGCTATTTATCTATTTATCAGAGAGGTAATCCATAATTACTTTTAAAAATTTTAAAAAATCAACTCCATTCGACGTGGTCAATAAAAGGATTTATGAGTAAGAATGTTATAACTGGAAGTCACTCATGTTTGGCAAAATATGCAAAAGTTTCATCATGGTAGGTTTCATCTGCCGCTACTTTTGTTTCGTTTTCTCACTGAAAATTTCATTACAACGGGTAATTAAAAAAATAAAAATCACTTCAACACCCTAACTGGATGAAACTGCCAACAAGAATTGATAGAAAATGAAAAATTAAGCCCTATCGCTATAGGTAAATTCAGTCATATCGTCAACATATTCGAGCATATTCGCTCCGACTAAATAAAGGTGTGTTTTTCCAAGAAAACTTGCCCGACTTGATATCTTATTAATCATTTCTATTGTTGGCAATGTTTCAACGCAAGTTGTTCTGTAGTACTGGGTCTAGTTCTACATTAATCAATCAGGCCCTAAACATTGCTCAAAACCAGACACATCTTTTATAACAATTCATGTTCACCTTAAAACGTAAAATACATGGTTTTTAAGACAACAGTTCAATATATCTATTCACAGTTTTGAAACCTTTAAGAACTTATCGAGAATTTCATTTCATCATGACTAAAAAAAGGAGTGAAAATCAGAAGGCTAAAGATCATAAAGAAAACCTTTTACATGTAAAACAAGAGATTATATGTTCTTGATGTAAAATGAGGCAGTGTTTTGATACGATAGCCTTAATCAATTTAGCTTTATGTCCTAGCGTTTGCTAACCTATAAGATAACAAAATCTCGCAAACATGTGACTCAGATACTCGAAGATTTTGCTAACAAGAGGGCCTTTCATAGATATATTTCGCGATAACGGTACGGAGGAGTTGCTTGTACAATTTTAGCAGATAGTAAGAGCTATCAAGAAAGTGTTCGTGCCTTTAGCCAAGTAATTGCAGTAAGTACTGAACGGCCTATGGCCGAGAGAGAGACGTAATTTATTTGTTTGAAAACTTATATCAAAATCTGGATCTGAGATTACTGTTTTTATAAATCGTGAGTATGTTTTCCTCTTACTCATACTTATTTTTATTTCTCGGTCAAGTAAGTATGTTAAGTATGGCCTCACATGCCCGCAGGAGCTGCTTGGTTTTGGAAAAATGCTTAAAAAAGGTGTTCAATTGTCTTTCGGGTGCCGATCAGTCCTACTGCTCAGTCACGCTAAAACGCGAGTAACTAAAATTATCCTTTCAGGTTTGTTGTTTACTTCAACAAGAAATTAAGTGGAGAGATCACTATTCCTTACGCCAGTTAAACAAAACACAGTTAATTTAATTAGAACTGGATCGAGTGAGACATTATTTTCCCTTACAATGAATGTAGTCGTTGTCTCTAAATAATCAAAGCAGCTGAGCTAAACGTGAGAAAAATTACAGGTGTATATTTAGAAAAAGGCACTTCCCACTTTCCTGATCTAAATATATTTCTCATTCTTAATTATAGATATCTTGGGGGCCTAATGAGTAACGAAGATGAGAAACGGCGTTTACTTTACGTTCATTTCTATCTCAAACCCTGATCTTATCTGTAGATTGTCAGACAATTGTCAGATCTTTGGACCGGGCAGTTAAGTGAAAACATCGAGTGCCTCATGACGAATACATCAGTAAGGAATTTCCCTGATTAAAGAGAGATGTACCTCTCCTTAGAATACATTTTGACATAAAAACAACAACAGAGAAATGCGAGCAATTAGTCGTCATTTACACTCTTACTGGCAGCCACTTGTACCCGACGTCCGCGCTTCAAAAAGGTTACGTGACTCTGATACGAATTAAAAAATTTCCTTTCAGCGGTAAAAGTAGTCTTCCAGCTGGGTTAAAAATGGTCAATTAAAATTTTAAGACCCAAGAGTACAACATGGAACTCAATTAATCACAAGAAATGGCTATTTTAGTGTTTTAATTTCGCAGTTTAAATCAGTGGTGAACCTTCCAGACGAGAAAGGGCGTGATAACGTAACTTCAACTTTATCATATACAGTTATCGACTTTACTAGAAGAGAAACCATATTGTGTTTCCTCTTTAGAAGTGTGCTTTTAGCTAAAGTACGTTGTCAGGTGACCTAAACTTCCGATACTTTAGACAAGAACTTCCATACTGCTAAGCTTCATTCACGACATTAACAACTGTCTACCACAGAAGATATAAATCACGCAAATATGTCAGCTCTTTTAAAATATAGAAAAGCTTTACCTCAAGACATAATAATTCTCATAAAAGTTTCTTTGGCCAAACTGAAGTGTAAACTCTAAGCTGCCTTCTATAAATGTCATTTTCTTTGCTGATAACCGGAATCTATGATTATTAAATCTATTAAGTTCCTTTCTTATCCTTGCTCAAGAACTTTAACTTCCGTCATTTTTGTATGCAAATGTCGCCCGTTGAATGGCCAGTGTCGATTTTCTATTAATTATTTCTCGGCGCTTTTGTTCAAAGGAGCAATTATGAACTCACTTTGAATAGGAAATTTTCTATAAAACCTGGCGTGCAAGGATGTAAGACGCCCTAAAATCAGTCACCGAGTGAGAGGTAATTGCAGCAGAGAGCTCCTTTATAAGTTGTGCTTTCTGATGTTCATCTCATATCGTTGATTTATTAGCTAACCACTAAGCAGAACTTTCTATTTTCTTCTCCTTGCAGGCACAAGAGCTACAGTACTGTACAATTAAGACCTCGAATTTTCTCGTCATTAAAGGTAAGTAAAATTTGAATTGTATTTGCGTCTATGACATGAGCTGTTCGTGACTCATTTCAGAAAACACATTGATATTGAACGATAGCACTGAAAATGACTGTCCGTATCCACAAGTTATTCCTAAAACCCCGATTTGTTTTTGTATCTTTTAATCGTATACAGAACCGAATGTGGCTCCACGCGTCTTTCACGTCAATTTAAACAGAAATTTCCTCGAATGCGTTTCAATCTTACTTACTTTTATATAAATGTCGTACAGTGCATATTAGATTTTAACAAAGCCTCGGGCTAGAGTCTTTGAACATATTCAAATAAACAATTGAGTACAACTTCAACATCAGTTTTGCAGTTCGCATGGTAAAACTGGCTTTAGGTAAAATGATGGTTTGTCGCTCCCAATCTTCCTCTCTCTCTCTCTATCTTTCTTTCCTTAAAAACAATGATGCGAGGAAAATGTTCATATAAATCATTTGAGACCTTTAATTGGATCTTCCTCGTGGTTTTGCTAATCAATACCTATCAGCACTCACGAAAGTCTGTTTTAAAGTAGACCATCCATATTCGAATTGGTCCTTGCTTTAACTTGTGGGCTGCTATAGGCGTTTTTCTCAGTCTTTCCGGTTAAAATATACAAGGAGAAAGTGGACATAATTTTCAAGCGTTCTCTTACTGGAACATGAAAAGTGACCTTCATTAATACATTTTGGATCTTGATATCCACTGAGGTCGGCTTTCATTCTTGTTCCACACCAAAATTACTTTTAAGTTCTAAATATTTCAAAATATTTCATCTGTTTAAAGAAGATCGATGTAGTTCTTTTTAATTCCTCCAAATTGCATGTGTATTAAAAAATGACTGACGAGCTTTTACTTGCTTTTCAACACAGTCTACAATATAAACAAGTACCCACTTCATGAGAGAAAAGTCATCAGTTGTGCAAATAGGAAATTTTTTCCTCCGGCAAAATTCAACAGCAGATTCTACCAACTGAATCTTATTGTTCTTTTACGCTTTGGTGAAACTTATCGCGGGCCCTGTTAGGGCTTTTTTTACAAGAGAGGGATATGGGATGACATTTTTCAGGATTATGAGCTTTAGTGATTAAATTCAACCAAGCAATCTCTTGATTCATCCCCGTATTTGTAAGAATCTGATGTACCGAGCAGCATTTTCCGATTGAAAATTAACGATCGAACTGTTTTGAAGTCACGTTCGAATTTTAAATCCAATCATCAGCTTGACGTAAAAATTTTAAAACCAGCAAGTTACGTACCAGGTTGATTTATTTGTTTGTTGAAAACCAAGCTTTTATTGGTCTCTCACGGTTATGACTGACATTTCGAGATGAAACAAATTCCACATTTAGCCTCCCAGCTGTGTCCGTCACTTTGTTAAGAAATAAAAAACAAAGTGCTCTATAGTTTCATTCGTATTAATCCTTCACTAGCTTTTCTGTCAAATTTCGATCCGTCAATTTTTTGCTCTATTGGTAGTTCAAGGTTTGCGCGTTTGTTTGAGTATTTTATCAGAGAAATTTTTGTTTAAAACTGTAGTAACGTTATCACTGCGCAGGAAATATTTCTTTTTAGTTCAAGTCATTTGCCGCGATTTATTTTTACGTTCGATTTGTTAGTAGATTCTTGTTCTGTTGAGGAAATACTTGTCTTATTGACCAGAGTTTAGTACTTGCCAAGTCAATTTCTAATCGGTTTTTCACCACTGACCTGACCTTTTGGTACAGGATCGTACGAAGCCTAATTGAGGATACAAGTTGTATCACACATTGGTATTTTTCCCATTCGGCGCTGCTAAGTGTGATATTGATAAAATACAATGAGAAAGAAAAATCACTTGAAACTGCTTGATTGAAAAAAAACAGTTTTTCCTGCTAAAAATCATTTCTTTCCTTATACATCTGATGCCAATAAGGGTTTTATTCTTACCTGGAAGGTTTTTCTTATTCATTAAGACATCAAATAGATAGATTTTGGATATAGGGACTAAAAGACATATTTCTCGAGGGACAAGTAATGAAAAGCTACACATCCAAGTGATAATAATCCAATTCATGTATCCATTATATTTCAGATGAAATCCGAAACAATTCTTTTGGTGATGGCGTTTTTAGTGGCGGCTGCTACCTTATCATCAGCGGATGATTGTTTAGACTGCACCACTACTTTCACCATGTGTTTTGATGCGTGCCAAAATCCGACCATTTGCTCTCAGTGCATCGATGCGAAAGACAACTGTCAGAGTACATATTGCGGTAAAAAAAGGAGCTTTCGACCAAGACTTCGTTCCTTCAATGACTTTATGAAACAAAAGTGAGTTTAAGAGATACCAAAATTAAGAAGAGTACCTTCAAAAGAATCGCCCATATAGTACTGAAATAATTGTATTAGAATACTTGGAGTAGTAAGAGTATCTACTATTGTAACCCTACTCCATTCATTTAGAAAGTTGTAAAAAAAAACAATCCGCTCTCTCACAACTGTTGTAGCACTCTTCTTTCTGATGCCTTTTCTGGTAAGTCAAACGACGGAAGAAAAATCTCTCTGGGAGGGAGGTTTGTCGTTCAGGGCTTGTCTCACCTTTAGCGCCTGTAAAACCCCTTTTTTTGTTGTTTTATTTTTCGGTTTGCCTTGTATGGGGGTGGGGGTTCCTTTTCAGTTTTTTTCCCCTTTTTTTCAGTGCAGTCTCAAAACAGTGCACCCGAGTCGGATACACTGTTTTTAGAGTACACCTTTAACTGCTCTTTAGCATAAGCAATAAAATTCAATGGCATTAAAAGACAAGTATCTATATCATTTGACATTTATTATGATAATCAACTTCATTATAAGTGAATGTATAAACAATTCGGTACGGTTTCGCATGAAGAGCCACATTCAATTGCAATCATGCGTAGACACAACTGTTTTCATAAACGCGTTAGATGGACGCCATGATAAATCTTCATTTGGAACATCCCCTAGAAACCATATCAAGATTCGGGTGTGAAGAGAAATAAGTAATTTTAAATTGACATATCTTGGCAATAATTTTTGAAAATGATCTACAAACGAACAGCACATCCCTAGACACAAACTTTTCGCGCAGTACCTTTCCCATTCCGATTGAGTTACACTACTGGAGATAAAGCAACCACGCAGCTTAAAGAGGTTTCGTTTCTTGGTGCTATTTTGACAATCTTAGGATGGAGAATTGTTATTTGCGGAGTCGAGGCTAACATTTGATCGGTTCACACTGTGCAGTAAGTAATCAGTTTGTGCAGCTCGGCTAGAAGGAGAGTGATACTTAAAATTAACAAACCGTGGAGCGAATTTTGAAAAGCTGACGTTTGGGGTGTTAGTCCTTGATTAGGGCCTTTCGTGCCTGTGTCACTTTTCGAGATTCGCCAAGGTGATTTATCTTCATTTATCTACTTCAGTTGATAATCAACCAGGTATTTAACTCGCCCTCTGAAGCGGTATGACTTTTTCCCCAGAGCCTCATAACCGCCGCGTTCATCGGAAAAAAGCCTCTAGAAGAAATGGCTGTCTTGGGGAGGAGAATTTCATACCATTGTTCCCTGTACGTTTCAAAAATCAACTACGGTAGATTTGTATTTATCTTGCATCACCACGATAGGGTAGAGAATGTTGAACTTTAGTAATGGCCCAAGCTACGAATTTGACAAATTAAAGACAATTCGCCTGCACATCATAGATGACATCAAAACACCATTGACGTACGATGTGATCTATAATTATGTAACAAGGCAGAGTCATAGGGAAAAGTTTATAAGTACAGCTAATTCTTGATATGACGCAACCTCGATTTTTTTTTTCGTCTATGGCTGCAAAATCGAAGCAGAGCGTAGGCCTACGTTCTGGTCTTTGAGAAAATCTACGTAGCTGATTTAAGCTCTTTCATTAAAACATGATGAAATTGATCGAGGTTCGTTTGGCACTGCCTCAGTTGTGATGAATCTGGTATCAATTTATGTAAGATGTCCATTTCAAGTGCCCGAACAGAAAAAAAAGTAAAAAAGCTTTTCTGCAATACTATAGCTGCATTAAGTAATTCCAACCATCAAATGGGCTTTCTTTGAAGAAACTGTCGGAAATCAGCCAACTGAAGAGCCTGTAAATTAGTGTTCTATTTAAAGATGTGACATCTTTCTTTTTTTCGGTAATTTTTCTTTGAGTTTATTATGAGACTTTGGCCCGGAGCCTACCGAAAGCAAGCATACTCGATGTTTACTAAAGAATTGGTTAATGCTTAGCGTATAAATATCGAGTTATGGGACGAAGACAACTCGAGTCGAGAATTAGATGATTTCATCGCCGCCGAAAGCTTGTCAAACACAGTGAAAAAGACGAAATACGAGTGGATAAAGTTTGAAGGGTTTTACGAACGGCAGACTTCGATAGCAGTTTTAATGAAATGAACATACCTGCTGCTACTCTCGACAAGCTCCTTGGAAAGTTCTTTAAAGATGTCCGCATGTAAAATAGCGGCGGGTACGTACCGGAAAGTATTTCAAGCTTTCAAAAAGCAAACTCAATTTATCTTTGTCTTGTTCGTCTTCCTCTATATGCCGCTTGTCTTCCTCCAATAGCTCTGCTGAGCAGGCTCAGCTCCCAAGCAATGCCATGCACATCCTTCTTTCTTCGCATCAAGAACATTGGCTCAATTTCCAGCTGTCATAAGTCTTGTTCAGTCTACACCGAGTGATTCCATGAAAACGCCGCAAATACCAAAAATTGGATACTGCTCGTTAAGAGTATTCATAAATTCATTCATTTATTCAACGTTGACATTGAACAAAGTTAGCCGTTCGCACTTTCTAAGAAGAAACACGTTGTGCCCTGCAGATTTAGGGCATTTTGAATATGTAGAACGTTACATCACTGTTCCTTTCAGAAATCCGTTGTATGCTTGAAGTGTTCGATTCATGTAGGTTTGCATTATCTATAACTATGGATATTGAACAAATATTTTGAGCTTTTGACGACTCAAAGTCCTGTTTTTTCGGAAGCCAATAAAACGCTCACGGCGTACTTAGGATTTGACGCGCGTCAATCATGCTTTGGTGAAACTTATCGCGGGCCTTGTTAGGGCTTTTTCTATAAGGGAGGGACATGGGATATGATTAAATTCAACCCAAGCAATCTCTTGATTCATCCCCGTATTTGTAAGAATCTGATGCACCGAGTAGCATTTTCCGGTTGAAAATGAACGAATGAACTGTTCTGAAGGCACGTTCGAATTTTTCATCCATTCATCAGCTTAACGTAAAAATTTTAAACCAGCAAGTTACGTATCAGGTTGATGTATTTGTTTGTTGAAAACCAAGCTTTTTTGGTCTCTCACGGTTATGACTGACATTTCGAGATGAAACAAATTCCACATTTAGCCTCCCAGCTGTGTCTGTCACTTTGTTAAGAAATAAAAAACAAAGTGCTCTATAGTTTCATTCGTATTAATCCTTCACTGGCTTTTCTATCAAATTTCGATCCGTCAATTTTTTGCTCTATTGGTAGTTCAAGGTTTGCGCGTTTGTTTGAGTATTTCATCAGAGAAATTTCTTTAAAACTGTAGTAACGTTATCATTGTGCAGGAAATATATCTTTTTAGTTCAAGTCATTTGCCGTGATTTATTTTTACGTTCGAATTGTTAGTAGTAGTGAAATGTTTTCCCCCTCTATTTGAACCAAGCAATAATATAGATTTAGCTAAGCCTAAAAGCGGAGCTCGCATTTTTTTTCCCGCACGTCTTAATGGCGTTGGCGTGCCTGCGGCACAGTTGACCACGCATGTTAAAAGTAGCACCTTGTACGAACGCCCGTACGGTGTCAAGTCCAAATTTTTTCGGCTTGATTGGTTACTCAATAGCTCACTCGTGAGTTATCGAGTTAAATACCAAGTATACCGAAATACTTGGTCTTTACCGACAGAAAATCTTTCAGATACATGGTCAAAATCGGCCTATGGCAAATCTTCCAGTTGTCGATTTTCGTTCTCAGCCGTGGGAAATACTATTACCAAAGCCACTGAATACGTAACTTTCGGTTTTTCTTTCCGTCTTTTGTTTTTCTTCTCCTTCTAGGAAAGTTTGAACGTAAGCGATACGGATTTTTCAGTGTTGTAGTAGCCATAATCCGATAAAAAATTCCGACAAACGACCTTGGATTGAGAATGGTGAGGGCTTTGCTGTTCATTCATCAAGCAGACCGTGAGGCGCGAAAGGCGAGTGATGTGTCAACAGCTAAATACGATATTCCTTCACGTGTGTTGTCACGGCTTTTCGCAACTCCTCAATACTTTAACTCCATTTGTACCAATGGGCAATGTAATCAAATTAAACAATTCCTTGAAAACCACTTTCCACATTGTCGGTATTCTACTTAGGGCAAGAACGAGAAAATTCTAAGAACCTCACCGTACCCAGTAGGATACTGTGGGGTAGCGGCCTTGGTAACGCGAAGTATTGCAATAGCAACTACACCTTTTCACAACCACAACAAGGTTTATTTTCTACAACAGTTTCACGCGACAGTCACTTATAAATCAGTTATAATGCTTGTGATTTCATCGAATGATCATTTATTATTATTATTATTATTATTAACATTGTAAATTATCTATAATTGCAAATGCTGTAATTAAACAGAGAAGAGCCATCCCGTGGATCTGTTAAATAAACCATTGTTATCATCATTATTATTATTGTTATTATTATATTTGGTGAAATCGCAAGATATGCTCAATGCAGTTTCATATTATAAGAGAAAGTCGCAGACCTGGTATGATTCAGAGACATATAACGTCAAATTATGAGTGTTTCAAAGAGGCTATACCGTTCTGAAGGTGAACTTTTATTCCAGAGGAAATGGCAAAAGTTTGTTATAGCTAACTGGCATTTTTTTCAAATCAATTTTAGGGAAGTCAAAACAAACCTGGTGGGGGCTATTAAGTAAATATATCTAATAAGACGTTTTTGTGTGTAGTAGTATCCCAGAGTATCTTTACGAGTTCTGCTGTATTTTGACGAGCCCGCAGGGCGAGTCCAAATACAAACAACGAGCAAACATGCTCAGAGATAGTACACACCAAAACGTCTAATAAGTTATTTATTATCCAACTGCTTCAGTTTTTATGCACTTCTTCAAAAGCGGGAAAAGTGAAGCAGTGGTTTGTGACAGGTCTTGCGCAATGCTCGCGTCGAATTGGCTCATGAGACGTCAACTTGTCACTTAAAGGTTTCAAAACGATTCAAGATTGACTTTTATTTTCGATCGTTATTTCAAATGCTACACATTTGAAACTACTACAAGTACCGAAGTGTTTTTCTATCAATGAACAGTGATGAATAATTTATCGCCAGTAAGAAAGCTTTAAAACTACAGGGAGACAAACTCTCAAAGACATGGATGAGCTCTAAGTACATAAAAAAGAATTTCCAAAACTATATTTCATTTCTATCATCCGACTCAATCACATGGCGACGACGCTTCGCAAGAATTGCTGGAGGAGCTGAAGGCTGTGAACTAAGAACAATGAAACAGTTGTTAAATACGGCACAGAGAAGGCAAGTGTAAGCAACTGTCCAAATAACCGTACAATATCGCAGGATATTTGTACTCAATTCGCGTGTTATTTATACTCTACTTTGTGCAGTTGGACAATGACTAGATTTTATTAATATTATGAAACCTAGTGCAATAGCGGGACTGTTAACGTTGAAAATTACGAAAAAAAACAACTTCCGACTTCTCACACGCTAAAAAAAGGAAAAAAACAGACAAGTTTCCACAATTGTGTTGATGTTATTGTTGTCTGAGGGATTTCATCTCAGAGCATCCAGCTGCAAGACCACTGCCTTCATCGCTACTGCTTAACGTTTAAGCCATCGACTATCATTTAATGGATGAATAGAAGAAATTAACTTGTTTGAAAATGCAACAATAACAAACTCATCACCTATCGGCTCCAGTATGGATACAGCGGGAGCCAGGTTATTATATTTCGAGTCAATCCAGATGTGTACAAACATCCGCACAAGGACGAGGTGAGAAAGAGGAAAGACTGCCACCAACTTTGTGTGAACAGACATCCTACTATGAACAGGCTAAAATAGCGCGCAAATCAAATCCAAAAGCTCGCACAAATCTGACGACTTTCCGCGCGATAGTTGAACCGTTATACTAACGCATTTACAATTGCGCGCTGAACTTGAACTTCACTAAAAAGGCATGTTTAAGAAACTGCAATTTGTGTTGCTGTTAGCCTTATAGCTTTTAACGGCAAAACATGGCAAAGCGACGTAGAGAAGAGATGGGAAAACTACAGCAGGAACAAAGGCTTCGGAAATCGGAAAGTTGTGTCTCAGGTAATAACGTGAAACATCAACACTCAGATGAGCCTTACGCATATGACACAGATATGCGTGAAGATAGTGTCATATTACGTCATACCACGCGCTCCCATCGGACCTGTGGGAAAAAACGTGGTATCGGACCCGCCATTTTGATTTCGCCCATGTTGTCATGTAGTAGCTGTTGCGTTATTGAATAAAGAGTTTAAATGGAAAAATTGTGACATGGATGTCGGAAGTGGGATCGATTTACACCAATAGAGGAATTCTCACCGCTAGAACAACCAAGAAAACCGGTACGTACGATTTTACAGTGTTTACTACAAAGTCCTGTCTTATCGTGCAATTTAGCCAAAAATGAGCGACTTGGTTGGGTTTGAAGTACCAAAAATGGACTGGACCCCTGGCCCAGATTTATTAACTAGATTCAAGAGATTCCGCCAAAAGTGTGAACTGCTACTTGATGGACCGTTAAAAGCTCGAGACGGCACTCAAAAATGCAAATATGTGCTGCTATGGTCAGGCGATTACGGAATAGACTTATTTAACACTTGGTCGCTAACCGAAGACCAACAAAAAGACCTGAAAGAATACTGGAAAAGATTCGAAGACCATGTTAAACCACAAGCAAACCATATCTTGAACAGATATTATCTACGAGGTCTGAAACAGAATAATCGTCCCCTAGCCACCTTCCTGACTGAAGCAAGGCTACTCATACAGAGCTCAGGTTACCCACCTGACTTACATGACGAACTCATGCGTGACACATTAGTTTTCGGCACCGATTCGGAAGAGGTCAGACGAAAATGCATTGCCCGCGGTAATGAATTAACCTTTGCAAGGGCAAAAGAAATTGCACGAACTGATGAGGCTACCCAGATGCAATTAAAAGCAATGAGTGACACTACAAACCCAAAGCAAGAAGAAGGGGAAGTCAATGCAATCAGCAGAGGAAACAAGCCCAGAAACCAGCCCCACCAAAGGTACACCAGTGGTAGAGGAAACAGACGACGTGACAACAACCTAAGACAGTGCTACAGATGTGGAGACACACCACACACCAAAGACCAGCAGTGCCCAGCCACTGGAGTAGAATGCTTCAACTGCAACAAACGCGGTCATTTTAGCAAAGTTTGCAAGTCTAAAACAAGGTCAGATGTGATGACCCTACAAAAAGAACAACCTGATGGTGTAACAAGTGAATGCACAAGCTACGACAAAGTCTTCCTGGGAACACTAGAAGCCCGAGACAGCCCCAGTACCTCAATGATCGCAAGCATTGAACAAAAAGAAAAACAACGCACCAAAGTCATGACTGAAATACAAGTCACGGTAGACCCCCATGATACACACCTGATACCTATTATCTGCAAGGTCGACACTGGTGCAGAAGTTAATGTCATCTCCAAAGACGACTATGACAGACTCAACCGCAGTTCCCAGCAGATACCCCTTGGCCCAACACACCACAGGATTACTGCGTATGGAGGCCACGCCATCAAGACCCTTGGAACCTGTCCACTATACGTCCATCAAAATGGCAGCATTAAAGAAGTCGTTTTCAATGTTACTGACGTACCAGGACCTACAATGCTTGGCTGTAAAACCTGCGAGGAACTTGAGCTGGTAAAATTTAATTGCAGCCTAGAAACCTCCAAAGAAGACAAAGAGACCCGCCTTAAAGAACACAGACCATGCAAACCGCACCAAAGGACCAGCAGATACCCTAGCCGTCTAGACACTGAAACATACCCCCCACTGGACAGGATAACCTTCTTCAACAACTTCGGAGACTGCTTTGAAGGCCTGGGAACCTTCAATATGAAACCTTATCACATCACCCTAGACTCCAATGCTGAACCTGTCATCCACGCACCACGTACCATACCAGTACACCTTCGAGACATGTTTAGAAAGGAAATCAACACCATGGTAGAACTTGGAGTGCTCATACCCGTAAGCGAACCCACAGACTGGGTTAATAGCATCGTCCTCTCTGAAACAACCAACGGCAAAGGAGAAGTCACCAAAATCAGAGTCTGCCTCGATCCACGTGACCTAAATAAGGCAATAAAACGCGAACACTACTACACCAAAACAATTGATGAGGTAGTCACACAGCTTAGTGGTGCCAAATTCTTTAGTGTTGTTGATGCCAAAAAGGGCTACTGGCATGTACCATTAGACGAAGCCAGCTCCTACCTGACTACTTTCAACACCCCGTTCGGGAGATACCGTTTCACCCGGCTCCCCTTTGGCCTTATTGTATCACAAGATGTGTTCCAGAAACACTTAGATTCAGCACTGGAGGGCCTGAAAGGAGTCACCGGCATTGCAGACGATACATTCATATACGGAGCTACAGAGGAAGAGCACGATGCGAACATGGTAAACCTCATGATCAGATCCAGGGAAAGGGGAATCAAATTCAACAAAGACAAAGTACAGCTCAAATGTCAGGAAGTCAGCTTTTTCGGCCACAAATGGACCCAGGATGGAATCAAACCAGATGACAGTAAGATATCTGCAATCCAGAAGATGACCCCACCTGAGAACCGCAAAGACCTCCAAAGCTTCTTAGGCCTCGTAAACTACCTTACAAGATACTCAGGCCATTGGCTAGCCTCACAGCACCACTGCGAGAACTTACCAAGAAGGACACCGCATATGTATGGGGACCTGAACACGACGACTCATTCAACCAAGTCAAACAGGAAATCACATCAATGGGAGTCCTCAGATACTTTGACCCAAACATCGAGTCTGTCATTCAAACTGACGCTTCCCAGAAAGGAGTAGGCGCCGTCCTTTTGCAGCAGGGGCAACCTGTATGCTATGCCTCCAAAGCACTTACAGACACAGAAAAAAACTACAGCAACATTGAGAGAGAAACACTTGGTGTAGTATGGGGCCTAGAGAGATTTAACTACTACATTTTTGGGAAGCACTGTACAGTAAACACTGACCATAAACCTCTTGAGGCGATTTTCAAGAAGCGACTGTCCAGTTGCCCACCTAGATTACAGAGGTTCTTGATGAGAGCCCTGAAATACGACGTTACGGTCAACTACGTAAAAGGTCCTGATGTACCAATAGCCGACGCTCTCTCAAGAGTCAGCCCCCAGCCTACCCCTAGCAGCAGTCAACTTTCAGAGATATATGTCCACCACGTCACACAACATCTCCCTGCAACTCCAACAAAGCTACAACAGATCCGTGACGAAACAGGGAGGGATCCTGTATTGTCTCTGTTAAAAGAAATGGTCTTTGAAGGATGGCCACAGAAAAGAGAAGAGTGCCCCCAACTGCTACATGGCTATTGGAATTTCAGAGAAGAGCTGACCATCGAGGACGGCTTAGTACTAAAAGGAGACCGCATCGTGATACCTCCTACTCTCAGACCTGAAATCCTGAACATCATACACCAAGGCCACCTAGGGCAAGAGAAATGCCTTTTACGAGCACGTACATCCGTTTTCTGGCCTGGAATTACAAAGGAAATCATCAACCAAGTTAACCAGTGCGAACCCTGCCAGAAATACCAAAATAAAGCAAGGAAAGAGCCAATACTACAGCCAGAACCGCCACACCGACCATGGGAAAGACTCAGTTCGGACTTGTTCGAATTTAGAGGGCAGCAATACCTCCTGTTGACAGATCAATACAGCAGATTTCCTGTCATCAGGAGACTAACAAGCACCACGTCATCTGCAGTTATCAACCATCTGAAGAGCATCTTTGCAGAACACGGCATCCCTACGCAGTTGACGACCGACAACGGACCGCAGTACAGTTCGGCAGAATTCAAGCATTTTATGAACGTCTACGGGGTAGAACACATTACTAGCTCCCCCCTATACCCCCAATCCAACGGGTTTGCTGAGCGAATGGTCCAGACCGTGGAAAACATTCTCCAAAAGTGCGATGAAAATAAAGAGGACCCGTACCTTGCTCTCCTATCATACCGGGCCACTCCCTTGGATCACCAGCTGAAATCCCCAGCAGAACTGCTCACCAACAGAAAATTTAAAACTAGATTACCAGCATGCCATAGAGTCCTCCTCAACCACTCTCACCATGAGGTCATGAAAAGTAAGCTCATAGCCCGTCAGGAGAAACAAGCCCACTATTACAACCAGCATTCAGGACCACCCAAAAAGCCATTCGAAGCTGACCAACCCATCCGCACGTACAACCACCACTCACAAACCTGGGAACCTGGCATTATTGTAAAACCCGCCAAACAGCCAAGATCTTACATCATCAGATCCAGCAGTACAGGTACCACCTATCGAAGAACACGGGCCCAACTGAAACCAGACACAACTGCAGTGAGGGGAACACAATGCCAGCGGGTGGAAACCCCAGTATACCAAGGTTCTGAGATACCTCAGCAGACAACTAGTCTTGCCCCAGTCAGTCACACACAGACATCGCACAAAAACGGTGCAGCCCCCAGACCAGGATCTGGCGAAACAGTGCCACTGAACAACATCCCCCAGGGACCCTCAGACATAGCTGGAGGATATGTGACCAGATCTGGGAGGACTGTGACACCTGCACAAAGGCTGGATCTATAAGAGTAGAGACGCTAAAGAATAGACTTATAAGTATAAGCACAGGAGGGATATCCTTTCAACCAGTATTGTAATGTTCTGGAGATATGATAAGTTCCATTTTTTTTTTTGTCGTTATTATTATTATTACATCGGTAGAAAGGGGGATGTCATATTACGTCATACCACGCGCTCCCATCGGACCTGTGGGAAAAAACGTGGTATCGGACCCGCCATTTTGATTTCGCCCATGTTGTCATGTAGTAGCTGTTGCGTTATTGAATAAAGAGTTTAAATGGAAAAATTGTGACAGATAGCAGCAGGTATGTTCAAATAACTGTATAGAAGAAGAAAATATCTCCTTTTTGGGTTATTTTCAGAATTTGAACGCCCGTGTGTAACACAAGTCACTTAGATGTCTTCGTGCGAGTTGGTCACAAGGAACAAAGCGAGGAGCAACAGGGTGGAGACATTTCGCTCCCTCCCACCTCCTCACACACAGCGTTTGCGATTTTATTTGGGCACACCTGTATGTTAACAGTCCTTTTTTATTAAAACGAACATGCGTTTTATTGTAGAGGCTCTTGTTCTTAAGTTAACCCACCAGCAGACCACAAAAGTTCACTATCAGCAATTCAAGTGCTAATTCCAATTTTTCTAGCTCACGTCCAGTCTCCATCTACGACTTTAAACAATTCTTCTGGTCTTATCCTAAAGGGAAAATGAAGATGACTGGCTTATGCAGACATTGTATGGATGCAATTATGAGTTACAATATGAACATGACACCTGCATACATAGCTGGGAACACAACACACAGACTCAGAAAGAGGAAAGCAATATACTGGAGGGAACCAAGTTAACTGAGGGAATAGTTGAAGAGGGTAAACTGAGTGATACCAAAACCCAGACAAGAGAGGAGCGAATAAAGAGTCTGAAAGCTCTCCTTTGCAAGCACAAGGAAGATATTGAGAAGTTATGGCCTGATGCAAACAACGACAAGCAGAAAAAATGTTCTGTGATTGCCAGAAATAGGAAAATGATTGCAACAAGAAGCAATGTCTTCACTGAAGCAAAGGATTACTCCATAAAAAGAAGAATTTGTAGAAGAAAAAGAAAGAGAGCTGAGCCTCATACAAGTGGGGTAGTTAATACCAGAGATGTTGATATTTTGATGAGTAAAGGAAACCTTATCACTAAGGATGAGTTCCTAGCTGTGCTAGGCCTGGTCCGAGTCACAAAACTTTATTCATTATGACTAACTTCAACATATTCATTTATTTATATTTAATCTGACTGTAGAACTTGGCTTTACAGAAAATAGATTGTCCAGCTAGTGCATAATGGTGAGGAGTTTATCCACTTCAATAAAGGTTTTATGGCTATTTCAAATCATTTTCAGAAATAAAATTAACAACATAGATTTCTCTCCTGTTATGGTAAGGCTTTTTTTATTAATAAAGTGCTTTGAGGGCCATTCTTAATCATTTTCAATCAGCTGTTAAATTGAATTCAAACCATTTGCATATCATTATAGACTTAAATACATCATGATCAATACATAAGAAAAGTCAATATCATCATGACAACTGAAACACACGCATACCAAAAAAAAACTTCAAAACAATTAAATTTTATGTGATTCAGATGTCATTCATTGAAGGTATTTTTATACACATAGTAAACTGTAGTATATGATATATAAAATGTCAACTCTACTGAAAAAGATACGTTTTATTTGAAATGAAATGGAAGGAAAATTTTCAAATAATTCAATATCTAAAACATTTTAGTTATGATTAATCTACACAATTTCCACATTATGTTACCCTAGAATTTTCCATGTTACCTACTGATGTGCTTGTCTGTATATAAGGCCTGTTTTTTCCCTTGCAAACATCAATCAATGTGAAAATAATGTGAATATGTGACTTAATGGCCATGCGGGATGCTCCTGACTAATCCTGTTTCAGTGACAAATACTGGTATGGACCCCTTTGCATGACTCTGCAAGGTGGCTTTATATTGGACCCAGTTTGAATCACCACAAAGGGTAATCGAATTATGCTTTCAAATTTTGACATATCATTTACATTAAAACAGTAGTAAAAGCTCATCAGTTACCATCCAGTTGTTACTAGGATCCCTTTTCTATTTCTTTCTAGTTGGTTTAATTTTATTGGATTTTCTCAAATTGTCTGGGCACTAGGCTTTACTTGACTGCTTTAAAAATATTAGCCAAAAGAATAGCACATACAGTATTGTCCAATTTTTCATTATCTGCCTTCTTAAAAATTAACATATACCAAATTACATAATGTAGAGGTTTAAGGATAAGTAGACTATGTGCTTGCATTAGAAAATTAATTTGTCTGTTGATTGATACAAAAACTCACAATTCATTTATCTACAGAAATGGTACCTTTAGTGTATGCAAGGGTGCCAAATCCAGTTGCTGTACAGTTCCATGCAAACTTAAATGAATTACCTGTGAATTACAGGGAAAATAATAGTTTTCAAACTACATTGTTTTCAAAACATATGGCTGTATACCCAAATATTTTTGTCATCTAAAGATAGAACTGGCAGTTATTGGCAGATCATTAATTTGATTGACAGGTCAATTGTGAACTGAGTAATCAGAGCTATGAATCCATAGATAGTGAAGTTTTCAATAGAAACAATGGCAAACTTCAAAACAGCAAACTTAAATTACAGTTTTTACCCTTTGGTTCTTTTATGTCTTTAAAATAGCTATTTCTATTAAAAAAAAAAAACATTCAATCAATATTTTATGTCTACTCAATCATGTGAGTTTCACAGCAAGCTAACAGCTGCTCCATATGTGGCCCTGTAGAAAGACAGTACTTTGTCATGAAATTAGTGTTTTGCTGCCAACCTTATGAGATAGAGGTTCCTTTCTCTTTGTGTCTGGGTACTAACACGAATACAAAAAGACAAAAAGATCTTTCATATTGGTTTCTGTTAAATGAGTTCAAGACTCAACGAGAATTCCCTCGTGAAAAGGTCAGAAAGAGGGTTCCCATATACTATTTTGTAAAACTCAGTCACATTAAGATATTTGGCCCTTTTGCGCATCACAGATGATATCATTTGAGACTTTTCTTAAAAATAACAACCAGGATTCACAAACTTCACAAATTTAATTTTTTCTTTGTCTAGTCTTGACCAGTCTTATGAGACAAATGGTGACATGATGTCTCATCTTATTTGTTCAAAGACCATAGGTTAAGTCTATTTTATGACTTTTATCGATCTATATGAAGTTCATATCCTGTCAAAACGCTTGTAAATTCTTACATTTTCAAAACCATTATAAAGCCGCGAATTCGTCACGCAAAACAAAATGGTTCCCGGATCCCGTGTAATTCAGATCTTCATTTACGAGTCACATTTGAGTAAAACAAGTTCACTTCGACGCGGAAAGATCTTACAATCTTTAATCACGATTCACGAATGAGGAAAAAAATTAAATCATGATTCACGGGGGAAAAAATCGTCCAATCACGTTTCATCTAAAAAGTATAGGGGACGGGGCGGAAGGAGGTCCTGGTACATCGTGATACAAATTTTTATTTATTTAATGTAATTTCGCTGATGACGAGGTATGTTGCTGCGATGGCCGAGTGGTTAAGGCGTTGGACTCGAAATCCAATGGGATCTTCCCGCGCAGGTTCGAATCCTGCTCGCAGCGGGTTTACTTTTTACTTTTTACACAAAGTCTTACGTCTTTACGTCAAAGTTTTAATACGTACGATGAGAGGGATTTTTGCTCAATTCCAGAAAAAGATGCTGTAAATGCTGCTTTTTTTTAAGCTGTGTTCTTCGCAAAATTTTAACCTAGTGCCCACGGACCGCACAGGTATCCAAACGCGAAACCCAGTTAAGTGCTGAAAAATTCTTCTTATTAACCATGAAAAGTTGACAATACGAGATAATTGTGTAAATTATATTTGTGTAAAAACTATATGGGGGGAAAAAAAGGATGACTAATGCTTTGAGCAAAATGAATCCTGCGTTGGCCGGGAATCGAACCCGGGTCAACTGCTTGGAAGGCAGCTATGCTCACCACTATACCACCAACGCGCTTATAGTAAACCATAGGTAAATTTGTGTAATTATTATATGGTACAAAAGCCCGCCTCCGACATAATAGAAATTCGGAAGCAAAACGCTTTTCAACATGCTATCTTATTTCTGAAACAATCCAGTTACATTGACATTGACATATTATTGTTAGATTATGACTAGCGCGCTCATTGGGATTAGTTCATGAGTACAAGTGTATGTTCGTAGCTTGTATATAGAGCCTGCATACTTTCAACAGTATTTCGTCACAAAAGAGATTGCACAAACCACATTACAATCATACTGACATGTTGAACTGTGATGATAATTACCTACCATCTTCAGTTGTAAGATAAATGATCCAAACAATGTTGCAATAGGATAGATAATAGATAAAAAAAGAATGGAAATTAGATAGATATGATGTGAAATACGTTAAAAAGGAAGGTGATACCAAAAAAATATTCCAGTGGAAACTAAATCAGGAAAAAAAACCCCGAAATGACAATATTTAATTTACATATTAAATCGAGGTTCACATGGTTGATTGAAGAACATAAAAGACCATGAAAGCAATCTCTAGGGAAGGGAACCATTTTCGAAACTCATGGGGCGTTGAAGAGTGTTTGCGCAAAAAGATAGATATTCGCGAACGTAGGCAAGTTGTGTTTTGAGGTCTTTTGATGTCACCAACATAGGGATAACAAGAACTGCGGCTTCAGCGAGTGAAGTTAAGACTTTTCAAGAATATCAGCTTGTCTTTTGTGCTGCCGAAAGCTCCATTGACTGAGTTACAGTAAACGCCTTGGATAGTATGCCACAGACACGGTTCTCATTCGGCAAACTTCTTACAGAGATGCCATTGCAAACTTTCGAGGAATGTGAATTTATACAGACTCAACAAGTTCGTACAGGCCTTGTGTCGGAATAGGCGGTAGAGTTCCCTCGCATTTCTATTTTTAATTTTCAATTAATTTAATTTTTTTTGTTGTTTTTTTGCTTCATTTGTATTCCATTTGAATTTGTTTACAATTCTTGAGATGAAAATATACTAGAGCAGCTTATATGAATAAATTTACATTCAAAACAGTGAGCGGGGTATAAAAGGCAGAAGCCCACTTCTAGCAGTTTTTCTTTTATTTTATTTTTTTTTTGTTCAGTATTTCCGCTAATTGAGGCCCTAATTTGAAGCTCTTCGATAATGTTTTAAATTCTGGCTTGCGCATTGCTCCCATACCGTTATAAACTACCCAGGATATTAGCTTGCAACTCAGTTGGTATTACACTGAGCTATCCCTCAATCAATATCATTTCAGGCTGAGAATACTAACTATGTTTCTCCGTTTCTCCGATGAAAAAAAATAAGATAGCAGAGATAGGATCGGTTATTAACAAACTGAATATCACGGCATACGTAATCAGTTCATGTCATCTAACCCAGGACCTTCAGTATAAATACTTGGAATTTGACTTAACTGTATCTGTAACTACTTTTCCTTACGCAAAGCATCGTTCTATTTTTATTAAAGTAAATAGTAAAAATTAAAGTATTATATTTTATTGTAGTAATGCTTTATCCCTAACCAAAGTTCATCAGACGAGAACGATTTAGAATTCTTTATTGAACCCGACGACCGATAAAACCCTATTGAGGAACTTGTTTACTAGCACCTGCGCTAAGCAAACATTTATCTCGGCCAATCCGTAAACACGGTGCTGGCTCTGTCCGTTTGTATTATCTATCCGGCACATCCAACAGATCACCTAGCGACAGGGGCGGTGGAAGCGAACCATAAGTTATGAACTGAACGGTTTTGTCAAAGCTCTCGTATTTCAAACCACCGTCTAGTTTCATCTGCCTTGAAAAGTCATCTTCCAGCCTTCTGTGGCGATGCATTACAGGTTCTGGATAGTACGTTCTTTCACGCAGTTCAATGTCTAAATATTTTTCAAGCGATAGAAGTTCTTGCCGTTCTTTTTCAAGCATTTCTAGTATTTCATCCATCTCGGCCAAAAGCTGTAGCTCTTCACTAGATAATGACGAATCTTCCATAAACGATTTTATATCGGAGCTTGTAAAGCTTTTAATGTCTGTTTGCAGGATTTGTTCTAATTCTGACACACGTCTGCTGAGAATAACCCTACCAATTTGTAGTCGTTCGTGTTGTCGCTTTATTTCCGAAAGTTCCTTAAGGAATATATCATGCATTTCGTCCATCTTAGAATCGAAACCTTCCATTTCTTCTTTATTGGAGAATTTAACTCCATGAGAAACAAGCTGACAATCAATCACATCGTCAGTTTTTCGTTCCGCGCCCAGATATTCCCTCCTTGCACCTTTCAGCTCCACTTGTCGGTCGCTGATATCATTTTTTGTTTTCTGCGATTTGCAAGAGTTCAACTTCTCTTCTTTCTGAACCCACAAACCGTTGAATAAAAGTAACCAAAACTGCTTGAATCTATAGCAAAGAGACATATCGTAGACTCCTAACCTCTCGTGTCGCTCGCACAGGAAGTGTCATAGTAGCAAAGAGAGTTTATATTCAAGCTGTTCTTCTTTAGGATGTTCTTGCCAGGCGGGCTTCGTAAGGTAGCGCGTCTTCTCGTGCATCTGTCCGTTCTTCTTGCTCTTAGGGTGGTAGAACCCCCGAATGGGCTAAAACATTCTTCTTTTCCCAAGGTCGACCTCCTAAAGTTAGGAGAGTCGCCCTAAAACGCAAACAAAAATACCCGTCAAACCACTTCTCTTGTCTTCCACCCACGCGTCGCAGACAGAACAGGTGATTCGGTGGTTTTTCCCTGTGAGCGTCGCCTGTGATGAGCTGTGTTGGTTTATTAAACTAGCCAATCAAATTACAGCATATCACTCAGGTACCTGTTAATCCTACGCTCATTATCTTTATAAACACATGACTTGAAATTCTCAGTTCTACAGTTCCCAACGACGATATTAAAACAGAGCCAAGTACAAGTATCATTATAAAAAAAATTCTAGTTTTGCAATAAAAGCATAAGAGCCGTCGAAGATTGAGTTTTTTTTCCGAAACGCCCTTGAATATTGTTTCTCGCTGTCTGGAATGGGAGACATTTTACATCTAAACGCCAAGAAAACGGGTTCTTTGTTTTAAATAAAGCTTGTCAAATTGACTATCCTATCATAAAAAGTGTTCTGTTGTCAAGAATACTTAGACGTGTAGTATTCTTAGGACTCTATGATCTAGTCAAGAAAACTCATGGTGGAAAGGGTAACGCCCATTTAACAAGGTGTATCACTTTCACTGGAATTGTAGGATTGACATCTCCATGATTGCGATGCTCACTTCTTAGCCCCCTTCAAGTGGTGAATAGACAGAAAAAGGAGGATACAAGGAAACCAGGGTTTAATTTGAGTAAAAAGATAAAAAGTGAAATTCGATGATAATAAATTCGAATTTGAAACTCCGCGTAAAAGCTCTGTAAAGTGTTCTTGACTTTAATTATATTCCTTTCCTTTAGTTCATCCTATTGGTGTACAACTGGAAACACCAATGACCTGATCTTTTTATTGTCATGTACTGATACCGTTACCGTCTGATCTTGTCACTTGCTGGTTCTAAAGCCTGAGTGAATGGTAATAGCGGGTTACTGATGGCAGCGGGGGTCAGTAGTGTGTTATGCTGAAATTACTGACTACCGAGAATTCAAAGTCTTCTCCATCTTTTTAAACGCCTTGTAGCTCAGTATATACCATAAACAGGCATAACTTTTGCTTTCAACAATCTTATAAGTTGTGAGCTGTTTGCAATACAGTTGCCTTGAGGAACTGAAAATCTCTTTTTTCAGATTTTCTCATGCCAAAGTGGTAACTAGCTTCTTATGGAGTTCGGCTGATAATATTTCGAACTTTTCATCAAACATTTCACCAACATAGCATTGTCTATGCTGTCCACATAACATTATGATAACAAATATTAATCTCTTAAACAACCCAAGAACTCCTCCACTTCGAGCAAAACCCGTTTGCTGGAGGGTCTCTGTTTATCGACTATTCTGAGCCTGTAATCTTTTAGCTCAGCGGCTCTTCGGAGTTTGTAACTGATCGAATTTGGAACAAATGATCCATGAGACCTACACCTGTTGTTTTTCATTAAATCATTTTCATAACCTGCTCTTAGATTCAATAGCGCTTTGAATCACGTTCGTACAACGATTGCCTGAGCCAAGTACAAGGCTCAGTTTAATTTTAGTTTATTTCTACAGAGTTTAATGAGAAGGATAGAAGTGCATGACCAGGCATCTCAGTAACCATGGCGGACTAAGGATTTACTTGACGGGAGATGTTTTTCAAATTGTTTATCTGAAAAATGGTATCCCGTGATCTTTGAAGACAAACAAGACAGCTATCTAAACAAACCATTAGTTGTTGAAGAAATTATCGCATCTCACGCCACACAGAAATTAAGCGAGATGCGGTATCCGTGAGCAGGGCTTTGAAAGGAAAACCACATCACTTGTTCATCTCATCAAGATTTTGAATCTATAGATTTACACCCAGGTCAGCAACTTCTATTAAGATACTCTTCTGGACGGGAGATATTTATTTTTAAAGTCAACAATTCGCACAGGTGGGAGCTCAATTCCTCCACAAAGAAGCTCTTGAATGAAATTAACTTCTATTTGAAATTTTCAAATCGATCCACTTGCTTAGGAGACACGTGGTAAACAAGTAACTGGTATTACAAGGTGCTCGGGTGCAGTGGTGGCTGTTACAAGGTGAAAAGAAAATGAAAGAAAACAGCAAGGAAACGGAAATTACGTTAGAGAAAAGTGCAGACTTTCCAGACTCTCCAGACACCAAACCAGACACCCAACCGGGTGAAGACAAACTTGTCTCGTCATTTGCAACTTTTTGGAACATTTGCAACACGATTCAAGGTTTACCAATCTTGGTCATACCTTACGCCGTTAGAAATGGTGGCTACTTAGCAATACTTACTCTTTTGTTAGTCGCCGCTACCTCTAATTACACCGGAAAAACAATTGTTCGGTGCCTCTATGAAATGGATCTAAAGAGCGGTAAACGAAAAAGGGTTCGTAATTCCTACGCAGATGTCGGCGACGCTTTTTTGCCGAACTTAGGAGGTCATCTTGTCCTTGCTACTCAGTTTATAGAGTTGCTGTTTGTAGCTTCATTTTACCCTCTATTAGTTGGACGATTATTGGCCAAATCGTTTCTCCATGTTGCTGTTCCTTGCTGGCTCTGGACACTCATTGGCGGTATAATTTTCGTTCCAAATGTTTTTCTCAAAAACCTTTCCCAAGTGGCATGGACCAGCATCTTGACGGTACTTTCTGCCAAAATTATCTTCATTACAGTGTTTGCGTACAGCTTATTTCGGTTTCACAAATGGGAGCTAAATTCTTTAACACATTTTGACGCCAGTACATTTCCTTCAGCTTTAGGAATCCTTGTAGCGAGTTATCTGTCGCAGCCCTTTGTATCACTCATCGAAGGCAGCATGCGCTACAAAGACAAATTCAATTTGTTGATGAACGTTGCTTACGGAGTAATGACATTGCTCAATGTTATCATTGGAGTAGTTGCTTACATCTCATTTCATCCCAACACAGCTGAAGTCATAACAAACAACCTACCAGAAGGTTCATTCCGTCGAGCGGTAAATGTAATGGCAGCTGTGTTGTCTTTCACGTCCTATACATTACCAATGTTTACTCTATTTAACATCGTTGAAAAATCTAACCTTCCATGTTTACCAGAGGATCTCGATAAATCCATTTTGAAACCATCCGTTATCTTCCTTCGTTTGTCAATGGTATCTACGAGTGTAATTTTCGCTGCTACTTTTCCTGCCTACACCTATTTATTAGCATTTGTCGGCAGTATCGCTGGCATCAGTTTGGAGTTCATATTCCCACCTTTGTTTCACCTAAAGATGTACTGCCATGACATGACATGGGGTAACATTATATTAGACGCAGTTGTTCTTGTTGTGGGTATTTCTGTGTCAGTGACCGGAGCGTTCTTTTCTGGGCGTTCAATGATTAGTACTTACAGTCAACCAATAATCGATCACTGCTTGTGACACTTGGATCCTGGCCTCTCGATAGCCCAAAATAAGTTTAAATCGATAACATAATGCTGGGGGGGGGGACGTATTAAAAAGGCACTCAAAACAAAACATTTCATCTCCTCTTGTGGATCCAAAGGAAAAACTATACTGGCATGTTTGTGTCCATTCGTAGTTCCTTAGTTTCGTAGTTAAATAGTTTCTAGTTACATGTATCACTTTTGATTTGGGATTTGTTCCAGTGATTTTTCTTTTCCAACAAATGGTGCGTTTTTGCAAGAAGAGTTTTTTCGAAACAACGAAATTTGATAATTATCCAAATGAATAAATTTAAATTCAAAGAAATAAAGGATTTGCAAGTCGCTGGGTTGATGTTCTACTAGCTCTCCTCAAAACCGCAGAGATCAGCGTCAATTGCTGATAGATTGACTTCTCTGATAGAAACAAACATAATTTTCTGAATACGTCAATCAGAAGCTTTAGATAGCTTTTCCATTCAAAGCAGCGTCAAAAGAAGACTTGAGCCGAAGTGAGACCGTGAACTTCTGTCTTCTTCAAAGCGTTAAAATTATAAAAACTATCACCAGTCAGTCAATAGTTATTGCAAATGCGCCAAAGGGAACCCTGACTGGTAGTAAACCAGCTCGAATGCGACGACAGCATTAATTGTTCATAACTGGTGAGGCAGCAAATTTGAAGGTGACCTCTAAATTAGAGAAGAATGGACCAAAATTAAGTTGGGTTTCAGAAGGGGAAAGTTCAACTTTCACGCAAGGGTTTTGGATGATGAAAGATTTGCGAGCTCTTAATGCATCCTTGGTTGGAATCAGCGAGACGCAAAATCTTACTATGGATGAGTGTATTCTTAAAAGTCATGATGTTTTTACTCCTAGGGTACTTGAGGGGTTTGCAATGATGTGACATGTCCTTAGATTTTAACATTTTCAGCGAAATGTCAGCATGTAAATTTCCTTTGCAGAAAGTCAGGCGCAAACGTCCTTTTCAGGCTTTAGCGTTTTAAATAGCTGTCTTTTATATTACAACTCGCGGGTTCGGTGAGATGAAGCGAAACAAAAGCTTCCTTGGTTGAATCAGCGAGACGTAAAATCGTACTGTGGATCAGTATATTCTTAAAAGTCATAATGCTTTTAATAAAAGATATACGAGCTCTTAATGTGTCCTTGGTTGATTCAGCGAGATGCAAAATCGCATTATTCTATCTATTGTTGTGTTAAGAGGAGAATAAGAGAACAAATAATGATTGAAAAGATCTGCGGCTATGATTATGATTTAGGGAAATAGCGTACTTTCAAAAAGTAATTCTGACTCCGCTATAAACCTGCACTAACTCTCTTTTCACCGCTGCTCGATAAATACTCGTGAATTCAGGCATCTAAATCACGTTACCCGAAGCTGCGTCCTCAGCTGAAGCAAAGTCGAGGAGTGAGAGTTCGAGACCTGTCAGAGATGCTTCTCTTTTTCCCATCATATGGCTCAGAAATAAATCTGCATGGAACTTTTAAAATTTCGTCTCAATTAAAAATGGAGGAGCATTTAACTATTAACTATTTTAAGTCTCTGATAATTTTCTCAATTCTTTTAATGAGGTTTTGGGATGGGAGTTGGTCTGCCTGAAGCGTACTCGGACAGCTCGGTGTCTAGTAAACACCTTTCCGAACATTAGCGCATTGTTGAAGATGCTGCTATTTTTTTCATTTGCCAGAATATATGAATGCGTGATATTAGGAATGCATTCAGTATGCGGCTCTTGCCAAACACTGAAGGTGCATAACCACTTACTGATAACTAATTTACCTTGATATAGTTTTCTTCCTGCTTTGAAGCGGTAGTTTTTTTTATCATTTTATCATATATGGCAGCTTAAACTAAACGTTTAAAAAAAAGTTAGAGATCTTTCACCTCCGACGGGACTCGAACCCGCAATCTTCGGCTACACTCCGTTCTCAGGTAGATACCCGTGATTTAGGAGGCCGACGCGTTATCCATTACGCTACAGAGGCCACTGAATAGCTTTAGATTTCAAAATATTATTTGAAAGCCAGTAGTGCATTTTATTTTCGGAAAAGTTATTTCTGGTTAGTAATCGGCTCATTATCATTTGTTATGATCATTTGTTATGATATTAATCTGCTGGTGCTGTAATAGTACCCGCTCAACGAACTATTACAAAACATTGGTGCGATCTCTTAGCTTCTGAGGGCCAGAAATTGCCTTTGCCATTTTATTTCAACACACCTGCCTATCATGCATTTTCGTAAATTGAAAAGTTTCGTATATACAACAAAGACAGTACGAACAACAGTTACTATAGCATTTCTAAGAACGGATGGGAGCGTTAGGAAGGCGAACCCCTGAAAGACTCATTTTTAATTGTTGTGGAAATTTTTCAGTAAAGTTACGAACATTTTTCACCCGTCTAAAATGCTAAGGAAGACAGAATCAAGGTGTCTTCAAACAACTTATATTCACCATTAGACTTGCTGGTGCAACGGAGTCTCGACTTCGTCATTATTTTTTTTTTCATATTGTACTGCTTTCACTTTTGACCATATCATGTTTCTGTAGATTATTAAATTTTAATCTATCGATTTAGTTTGAGTTTAATAATACTGCCCCTAGGAACAAAACAATAACGTTATTTGTTTATAGAGCTAAAAAATCAATGACTTGTAAAGAGACCACGAAATAAGCTCTGGAACAGCGGTAAAACAAATATTAAGGGGATTGGGGAATTATCACAAGTGGTAGAGCGCCCGCTGAGCATACGGGAGGTACCGGGATCCATTCCCGGATTTTCCATGTTTCTTTTTTTCTTACATAAAAAAAAATTATTGAATGCTGATTGGCTTAGACAGAGGGCATTTTTTTTCTTTGCCCTTTCATACGTGTTGCCAAGCATCATTTCTCTCTCTTTTTTTACTTAAAAAATCAATTGTAGTAAATTAAGCACAAAAGCGCTGCCAACAAAAAATTTTGGATTAAATTGTTAGATCCATTAGCTTAGACGGTAGAGCGTGATGCTATTAACGCCAAGGTCGTGAGTTACACCCTCACACAGACCATAAAACTTTTTCCTTTTTTTCAAAAATTTTTTTCTTTTCTAGCATCTTCCAAATTCCGTTACAAAGCACTTCATCAGTACTTTTCTCTTCCTGCAAAAAAAGGTCGCAGGTGTTTCATCGTCGTCATCATCATCAGGTCGAGCTTGCTCGGTATCCCATGAATGACCCTCCCTCCACCTGTCTCTGTCTTTCATTGCAATTGGTAGTTCTTCAAGTCTGCTTCCTCTGTCATCCATCAATTGGTCAGTGTAGGTCTTTTTTGGGCGTCCTCTCGGCTGATGTCCATGTGTTGGCCTCCAGAGTAATACATCCCCTGCTCCTTTACTGCGCCAACAATGCCCAGCGAATCTCATCCTTTGTTGCTGTAGCGATTTACTAATTGGCGGGATGTGGCCGTAGAGCTCTTCGTTTGTGGGGTAGTCCATCCACGATCTGTTTCAGGCAATGCATAGCATTCTAGTGTATGCTCCGTCGATTTTCTTTTCCAGATGTGTTGTTAAGGTCCAGGAGACTGAAAGGACGGTCTCCACTGCTGCTCGAAAGAAGTTTCTTTTCAGGTTGTCTGGAAGGTTTGATTTCCATATCTTGTCCATTTCATTTAGAGCATCCCACGCTTTTCCTAGTCTGATGTTCACATCATGTTCAGTAGAGGCGATGTAGCTTCCCAGGTGTTTAAAATCTTCCACTTGCTTTCTTTTCTCACCATCGAGACTCTTCATCCCTTCTGACGCATCTTGATTGAAGCAGATGAACTCTGTTTTATCTGCACTGAGGTTGAGCCCTATCTCCTTTGCTGTTCTTTCAATGCTGTGTAGCAGGAATGTTGCATCTTTTAGGACGTCAGCCAGCACTGCTAAGTCGTCAGCATAGTCTGTATCTGTTACTTTCATAGTTGGGAAGCATTTGCTCTTCCGCTTTGCGAGGGTAAAGCCAAGTTCATTGTTCTTGTCTAGAGCTTTACGCAGTACATAGTCAAGACATATAATGAATATGTATGGGGCTAGTGTATTACCTTGGAGGACTCCAGCACTGATATCGAAGAAGTCTGTGTCTCCATCAGGGGAGCGAACCATAGATTGGGTGTCCTGATATATTATCATGATGGCATCTACTGTTTCCTTGGGTATTCCATAGGCGGATAAGATCTCTTTCATCTCTCCGCGGTGGATCGAATCAAAGGCTTTTGAAAAGTCGATGAAAAGGAGAGTAGCTGGAAGGTTTTTAGATTTTATGCCTTCCAAGATACGTCTGATGGTGAGTATTTGTCTTGAGGTTGATCGGTTTGTGCGGAACCCGTTTTGGTTTTTTCATGCATCATGTTTCTTTGCATGCTAATTCAAAAAGGTTGTATCTTGTGTTAGTACTTTTTGTCAGAGTTGTGTCTTGTAGAGCAGCAAATCTATTTTTTACTCTGGTAATGAAGGTGTTGCGTATTTCAGAGTTGTCTTTTAGATGTGTCCAGTCGTATGGAGAAATGTTGCTGTTCTTCTTTTTGTTTGCTCGAAGACTCAGACGTATTTGGGTGGAGACGACACGATGGTCTGATGCTACGCTGACAAAGGAGTTAAATGCTCTACAATTCTTTGCACTGTTTTTCCACTTCCGATTGTTGATCACGTAGTCTAACTGTGCCTTGCTCCCATTTGGTGATATGTGTATCCATAGCTGACCTGTTCTTTTCTGGTATTTCGTGTTGAGACATAAGAGATTGTTGTCATTGATGTAGTCTTTTAGCTTGGAGCCATTTCTGTTGGTTTGAGTGTGATATGCATATTTGAAGCCATCAAGTTGCCCAAGATGTGCATTTAAGTCGCCTGCAATAATTAATATATTGTGTTTGGGAACTTGTCTGGTGACTGATATTAGGTCCTCGTAAAATGTTTCGACTTTTGTTTCGTCGCTTACGTTGGTGGGGCTGTAGCAGGAGATAATAGTGGTCTGAGGATTTCCATTGAAGGTAGCTATCATAATTCTAGGTGTTATCATTTCAGCACTGATAAGAGCATTGTAGGCTTGTGGGCTAAATAGCATTCTGATTCCTCCAGTGGCCTCATTCACACTTTTCTTCCATGCAGAGCAGGTGATAAGTCTCCAGCTGCCAAAGATGTGTTCTTTTGTTGCAAATTCCTCGTGTATAAATCTGTGTTCTTGTATACAGATGATGTCATGTTTTGTAGAATCAGCTGAGGCGATTAGTTCAGGTATCTTTCCTTCTTTCTGGAGTGTTTGGACATTGAAGGCCGCAATGAAGATGTCTTTCTTTCCCTTCATCAGTCTGGAATTGATTTTTTTTGTTTGGATCGCTTTGGTTTTAGCAGTTGATTTTTCGACTGCAACCTGAAACGTCATTGCAGGACGCGCTCCATGGTTGACCGCGCAACGAGCGATGCGGGATGAACGTCTTGGGTTTTGTGTCATTTCATACTTTCAAAGGCTGGATTGACACTTGTGGTCGCTACTCCATACAAGTGTGAGCAATACTCTGTATCAGAGCGTTTGTGCTAAGCCGAAACAATCAACATTGGTTGTAGTGAATTGCCTCGCCACAAGTAGCTTGAACCAACTTTTCAATATCTCGATCATTGCTTCATCTACTATCCAACATCCTGCCTCCCGATGTTTTCACCTTTATCACGGGTAGAGTGGCTGACATGTGTTTCACCTTGCTAAAGGGCGACCTGTGATTTTGTCCGGCACCGCTTATTGGTTATTCGCAGCTAACCTCTATATCTAGAGGCTGTTCCCCTATCTGCAACCTGGGGAGCCGGTGGATGGGAGTTCGCACCTCCACACCACTAACGCAGGTGTTTGATTCTTCTAAAAAGGTACTTAATTAACACAGGCGAGAAGAAAAGTGGAAGAAAACTAATTATGTACGTACACAACCTGTCAAAATCAATGAAATCCTAATTGCAGAAGTTATGAATGAAAGGACAAGTTTTGCATTGTGCTCGAGGGCATTCAAACTACTCAACTAGTAGTGAAAATAAGCCTCCCAGTTGGCTTGTTAGCTCAGTTGATAGAGCACTGCTCCGGTATTGCAGAGGTCATGGGTTTAAGTCCCGTAAGGGCTTGAATTTTTTCAGGCATTATTTTCGCTACTAGTTGAGTAGTATTCATAACTGCGAGGATCGTTTTCATCCGAATCGTGAAACTTATCACATCAGTTTCCTGGATCTACGTTTCCAGCTGAAGCAAACCCGAAAAGTCCTTCGGGTTCGAGTCCTGTCAGAGATGCTCCTCTTTTCTTCCATTATATTGTTGAGAAATAAATTTGCATTGAATTTTTAAATTTTTTTTCCAAGTAAAAATGGAGGAGTATTCAACTATTACTTACAAGTCTCTGATAAGTTTTTCGATTCTTTTTATGAGGTTTTGGGATGGGAGTTGGTCTGCCTGAAGCGAACTAGGACAGCTCGGTGTCTAGTAAACACCTTTCCGCAGAACAAGTACATTATTATTAGCGCACTATTGAAGATGCTCCTATTTTTTCATTTGCCAGAATATATGAATGCATGATACTAGGAATGTATTCAGTATGTGGCCTTCGCAATAAAATGAATGTATATAACCAGCAGATAAAGATAGGCAAGAGGTGATTACAGACCACTTCTTTATAACTCCTAAGTCTAAGAGAAAAGTTAAAAAGACTAACTCGAATGTGAAGGTGTGACTGGAGCCAGAAAACAGAAAGCGTCCATTGCCAACCACTTTTTAAGGTACTCAATCCATACGAAGTCGTGGTTCCAATTTTAGCCCAGTTTTCTCTACTATGATATCGTTTTCTTCCTGCTTTGAGATGATAGTTCTTTATCATCCTATCAAATATGGCAACTTATCCTAAAAATTTTAAAAAAAGTAAGAAGCTGCACCTCCGACGGGACTCGAACCCGCAATCTTCGGCTACGCTCTGTTCACAAGTGGACACCCGTGATTTAGGAGGCCGACGCGTTATCCATTACGCTACAGAGGCCACTTAATAACAGAAGTAAAGATTTTAAAATATTATTTGAAAGTCAGTAGTGGATTTTATTTTTTAAACAGTCAATTCTGTTTAGTAATTGGCTCATTATCATTTGTTATGATATTAATCTGCTGGTGCTGCAATAGTACCCGCTCAGGTCGTGAGTTCAACCCTCGCAAGGACCGAAAAACTCTTCCTTTTTTTCTTCACCTAGAAATGCTTTTAAAAATTTTTTTTTCTTGTATCCTGTAAAATTCCATTACAAAGTACTTCATATTCTCTTCCTGCATAAGTAAATTGTCACAAAAAAGTCCGCAGGTGTTTGATTCCACTGACAAGGTGCTTAATTAACACAGGCGAGAAGAAAAGTGGAGAAAACTAATTATTAACGTACACAATCTGTCAAAATCAATGACATCCTAATTTCAGAAGTTATGAATGAAAGGAAAAGTTTGACATTGTGCACGAGGGTATTGGAAAGTGCCAGGTTGGTCGTTAGTTTGTAGTGAACTTCTAAACAAAAGAGTGCCTATATTTTTTTCGGGTTTAAATGAAATAAGTTGAGGTTGCGAAAAGACAATACCAGTCTCTGAATATCTTTTAGGTAATTCAGAGTTTCTAAGTGGAGGGTAAGTTCTTTATGACGTGTAGCAGTTATCGAGAGAAAGATAACACCATTACTTTTCTCGACGCAGCAATTACAGGGAATTCAGATGGTCTTCTCACTACCACTGTCTACAGAAAGCCTACCCACACTGTTCAGTACCTAGCCTATGATTCACACCACCCTCAGTCAGTAAAGCGTGGTATTGTTGAGTGTCTATACGACCGAGGCAAACACTTCACCACAAAACCGTCAGTTATGCCTGAGGAAAGAAACACTTGTCATCAGTACTTGGTTATCCTTCTTCATTTGTACGAAAACCCGCAAAGACAACAAGGGTAACAGCCAACAAAGAATCCGCGTAGGAATTTTAATCTACTGCCGTTCTCCCTTACGTAAAAGGTGTATCAGAGGTTCTTTGCCGCTCCCTACGACATCAAGGCATACCAATCGTTTTCAAGTCGGACACAACACTTAGGTCTCACTTAGTACGACCTAAAGACGCCCTAGAACCATCAAAACAAGACGGTGTCGTTTACAAGATCCCATGCGAATGCGGCAAAGTGTATATCGGTAAAACTGGGAGATCAATGCGAGAAAGGATAAAAGAACACGACAGAGACATACCGTTTGCTCGTACTCTGACCTCAGCGGTTTCGGAGCACGCGAACGAAACGGGGCATATTCCTATTTGGAGCAAGGTTTAGTTTATTGATCGTGACCCTCGCTGGTACACACGTAGGGTCAAAGAGGCTATCCATGTAAAAAACAACAGCACGAACAATGACTTAGTTGCTCAACTCCACCCTGACATGTTAATGAACAAAAGCAGAATTTTCTTTGGACGAAGGGGAACAATGTACACTAATATTGCTGAACTACAATTTTTTCGCTACTGCAAGTAAATATTGCGAGAACAACTGGCATTCTGTCCGAGGTTGTGCTAAGATAAAATATAAAAGAACATCAAAGGATTGAAAAGATCTGCATCTAAAAATATGATTTAAAGAAATAGCGTACTTTCAAACAAGTACGTCTGGCTCCAAAAAAAGCTTCTGCTATAAACCTAAACTGACTCTCTTTTCACCGCTGCTCGACGAACAGTTCATATAGTAATCGTGAAACCTGTTACATCAGTTTCCTGGATCTGTGTCCCAGCTGAAGCAAACCCGAAGAGTCCTTCGGGTTCGAGTCCTGTCAGAGATGCTCCTCTTTTTTCTATTAAATAGCTCAGAAATAAATTTGCATTGAGTTTTCAAAAGTTTTTTTCAAGTAAAAATGGAGGAGCATTAAACTATTAATTATAAGTCTCTGTAAGTTTCTCAATTCTTTTTATGAGGTATTAAGATGGGAGTTGGTCCGCCTGAAGCGAACTCGGACAGCTCGGTGCCTAGTAAACACCCTTCCGCAGAACATTAGCGCACTGTTGAAGATGCTGCTTTTTTTCATTTTCCAGAATATATGAATGCGGAATACTAGGGATACATTCAGTCTTGCCAAATACTGAAGGTGCATAAACAGCAGATAAAGATAAGCAAGGGGTGATTACAGACCACTTCTTTATAAGTCCTAAGTCTAAGAGAAAAGTTAAAAAGATTAACTCGGATGTGAAGGTGTGACCGGAGTCAGAAAACAGAAAGCGTCCATTGCCAACCACTTTTAAAGTACTTAATCCATACGAAGTCGTGGTTCCAATTTTAGCCCAGTTTTCTCTACTATGATATCGTTTTCTTCCTGCTTTGAGATAATAGTTCTTTATCATCCTATCAAATATGGCAACTTATCCTAAAAATTTTAAAAAAAGTAAGAAGCTACACCTACACCAACAGAAACTGTCCATTGCGAACCACCTCTAAACGTACTTAAATCCATATGAAGTCGTAGTTCCAATGTTACCATAGTGTTTTTTACCCTGATATAGTTTTCTTCCTGCTTTGAAACAGTAGTATTTTTTTAAATCATTTTATCATATATGGCAGCCTAACCTAGACATGTAAAAAAAGTAGAAAACCTTTTCACCTCCGACGGGACTCGAACCCGCAATCTTCGGCTATATTCAGTTCATAGGTAATGACCCATGATTTAGGAGGCCGACGCGTTATCCATTACGCTACAGAGGCCACGGCAAGATACAAGATTTTAAAATATTATTTGTAAGGCAGCAGTGGATTTTATGTTCTAATCTTTCATTTCTGTTTAGTAATTGGTTCATTATCATTTGTTATGAAATTAATATGCTGGTGCTCTGATAGTACCCGCTCAACGAAGTGTTACGAAGCATTGGTGCGATCTCTTAGCTTCTAAGGACCGCGTGACGAAATACTGCTAGAAGTATGCAGGCATAAATTACCTGGCTCTATAGAAGTGGCGCACATGGGCACGTGCAATTGAACTTATCACAATAAGCGTGCCACTAATGATTATATAACGAGAGGCGCATTCGGAATGTAGTCAGTTATTTCTTCGGTCTTTTGAACATGTAACTGCTCGGCTTATGTTGAAGTAATAAATAGGCTTTTTAACCCAAACTTATCGTTACAGACCGGTAATTGCCTTTGCCATTTTATTTCAACACACCTGCCTATCATGCATTTTCGCAAATTGAAACATTTCATATTTACAACAAAGATATTTAAAACCTATAAATAATCGATTAACTCGTCTCTCACTTATAGGCCATTATAGAAATTAGTTGATTAAACAAAGGCGGATAGTGACAGCTGAGTTTTTCTCCAACTGCACTTTTGTTTCCCTCGATAATTAACCACCTATACAATCGTC